TGCCACTACCATGGGGTGCATCTGAAAAAAATCATACATATTTTAATAATATCAAGAATTACCTTCAGGCTCAATTTGTATCTGGTCGAGGCTCTTTCCTTCGAATTCCGTCACTCTTCCCTGCTCCATGGCCATCAACACTTTGCTGATTTTGGCCAGCTCCAGTGTCCCCTCTGGTAGTCTGTAATATTGCCTGTGGATGCGAATGTCATGGCCGAGGAAGTTGGCAAGTATGTCCATCTCATTCTCTTTCATATTGAGAACTGTAGACATAGTAGCTATGTGCTTTCTAAGTTTGGTTGAGGATAGCATCTCTGGATGCACCGCACCACATTCTTTGGCTACCTGGCGTAGGGAGTCTGATCCCCTGATGTGGGTGTCTGCGCCCGGGCGGGAAAAGAAGTATGGGTTATGGTCAGAGATGGAACAGGCCCTTCTGTTCTCCACCAGCACCTCCATCGAAGCAATCATTTCAGGAGTCAAAAGAACCGGCACTTTCCGACTTCTTTTCCCTTTAATTTCAATGCGTTGAAAATGCTGACACAGCTTTTTCTCAAGTTGGGACAGTCCCAGAGCAATGTCAGAATGGATCCCAGTCTTACTTCTTAAGGTAAAGGCTGTCAGTGGCATCTTTGAAACCTCACCTTCCCTTCTTCGATTGAAAATAATGACCTCACAAAGAGTCAAAACTGCCAGTTTAGACCAATGCTTAGACGTTGGCTCACTTATTAGGGTTTGCACATATTCAGGTCGACATACCTCAATATGTGCATGCATGGCTCTAACGTCCTCAGTCAGAGGGAGCAGGTCCGGAGTGTTCCACTTGGCTTGCCGGAGGGTCTGTAGGGCAGCAGAAGAAACACAGACGTCCCACCTCTTCTCAAAAAGCAGCCGGCTTCGTTGGAGGTTTTTAATAAATAGTTCATCAACACAATGCTCCATTTTTGAGTCACATTCAAGAATATCTGCTTTCTGAGGCTATGGCCGAGTTTGAGGGCCAAGGAGTCTTGTATTGATTTGTTTCCTCATCATATCCAGCCACAGACCTGACTGCATCAATCACATGGTTAAAGTTGGAAGGAATAAAGAAATCCTTCATTGTTTTCAGTTTCCCTGCGGTTTTTGCTTCGTTAATTAACCTACCGACTTCTCTCATTTTCTGCCTAATGTAATCATGCTTAGTCTTATCATGCCCGTGTTTTAAGTACAGGTGCTCTCCGAGTCTCAGAATCCCCTTTTCTGCTTTGACAACACCCGTGACCTCATCCTGATGCATTGCCCAAATTAAAGAGCACAGCTTTTTGCTGATGCCCTCCGGTACAGGCTGGGCTAGGGAGCAGAGGGACTGGACCCTACTTCTACCTGGTTTAGCCTGGTTTAGCCTGGTTTAGCCTGGGCATCTTTCTGTGAAAGCCGGCACCTGGCCACATGCCTCCACAGCGACTTTCGCTTAAGCAATGCCCCACAGTCTATACAGTGCAAAAACTCACTGGATTTAACTGGGCAATTTGGCTGTTTAGCTGGGACTAAAGTTCCAATGCCGGCCTTTAAAACCTCAAAATTGTGCTCACGGTTTCCACTATTCCTGATCAAATCAAACTGAAGTTTACGTGCTTTAGATTTCACAGGTAGAGCCAATGCTCTGGCTACGTCACTTTCATTTCCATGTTTTCTAGTCAAATGACGGGACATTTTGTGGCAGGACATTGAACAGTAGAGGCAGAAGTGTCTCTTGCTGTAAACTCTGCCCCCATTTTTCTTCTTTTGCAGCTGCATGATAACAATCTTATTTGCCTTTGGTTCGTCACTTTCCGAGTCTTGAAGAAAAGTGTTTTTGATTTTTCTTTTTCCATACTTTTTTACAGGTTTCTTCTTGACAGTTAAATCGTCAGAATCTGAGTCGACTTCATCAATTAGGGACTCTTGACTAAGCTGCACAAACAACAAATAATTTGTAATAATTCTATATAACAATTTGAAGTCATGACTTGTAGTCAGCACTTACCAGTGGTTTGTAAGCGTGCGCTTCAGTGTGCTGCTCTGTGATTGGCTGCAGCCTAATGAACCACACACTTGCACCTTTTCTAGCCTGACACCTGATTTCCTCTGTTGTGCTGCTCCATGATTGGCTCCAGCCTCTGTTGTGCTGCTCCATGATTGGCTCCAGCCTGCTGGACTGAAATTGCCCCAGTGTGCCCCTCCTTGATATCCCGCAACCCACCACCAGGGTTCCGACACATAACACACTTTTTTCAGGAAAGTAAACCTCCAGGGGTCCTTTCCATATTTTTACAGAGACTGCATAAGGACCGTTAGAAAAGCATTACCCATTGATTATTAAGCTTGGACCAGTGGGGTCCGGTGTTCGGGCCCCACCACGTAAAACCAGTCCCCATGACGTGAGTGGAATCTCAGGTTATGGAACCCACCAGGAGTTGAAAACAAGTGCACACACACACACACACACGCACACACACACAAATACACACGCACGCACACACACACACACGCACGCACACATACACGCACAAACACACACACACTGTGTTCCATGTAACACTAAGAACTTGTTGTTTTTTGTGTTTTGTTCGAAGGCTCAATGCTTAGTAGCTAGAGCAGAGGTCTCCAACCTTTTTCAACCAGAGAGCTACTTTTATACCACTGAAGAAGCAGAGAGCTACTACTTTTTTGCAGTCATAATAAAAATGTATTTAATAATGATGATAAAACACATGTAAAATATTCCATAATACTGTATAACCCAATATTTATATTTATAATGCATGTGTAATGACTCAGAAGTGAGTCACTCAGGAGTATGTGTTGGGGAGCTAGGGTGTACTTGAAAGGGGCTGGAGAGCTACTGGTAGCTCCCAAGCTACAGGTTGGAGACCCCTGCTGGAGAGGACTTTTCTTTTTTATTAACCAGGAAAGTCCCATGGAGATTAAGAGCCTTTTTTGAGGGAGTTCTGGACAAAAGTTACACACAATTACAGATTAAAACAACAGTTAAGATTAATTTCACAGCATTTCATAAAATTACAGATTATAAAAACAGTCTCAATCTGGATTTAAAATCATTCAAAGAAATAAGTTCAGATCATTTCCAGTCTTTTTGCAACACTTCTTTTGCTAAACCCTCCTTGCTCCAAAGTCACAGGTTCGAGACCCCAGCTAGTGGTTCAAAATCTATGTTTACATTTAAATTCCAGGGCAGCCTTGCATGAAGATGTGCAGATGTGACGACCCAGAACTTTTAACCCTCCAAGGTCTAGGGTCATTTTGGGGAACCTTCCTCGTCTGGTTTTCTTTGTGTATAATTGCTCATAAAAGAGTCATTTTTTGATGCAGAGTCAAGCAGTATACTTTGTTTTTTTCAGTACAACCTGGGGTTTTAGAATATCTATATTTTAGAGCTGTCATAACAATTATGTAAAAGATTTGGAGTCATGAAGACAAAGAAAAAATCGAAACGGAAAATCTATTTCACAAAAATGTATTGAAAAACACAATGAAATGCTATAAACAACTGTTTACACTGCATAGAAATGTTATTTATGGTCTTGGGGATAATGGGGAAAAAATTTGAATCCGTAACTATTATACTTTTTACAAAATTCCTCTATAAAAGCCAAAAACGCTGTACTCCTGATGCCCTTCCTCAAGCAGTTTGTCTATGAGGCTGTGGTTGCTTCTGTATCACAGCTGTAATAAAATATGTAAAACAAAAGAAACTAAGACAAAAAATAAATAAAACATCTAATTTATATATACAATACATTATATACACATAATATCATTTTACTGTATTTATTATTGTCTATTCTCTATAATGCAATCTCCTCTGGTTCCTCTGAGCGCTGCAGCCGCCACAAGTAAACACAGAGGAGTGAGAGATCCTACTCTCTGACGATCTTTGTCTGAGTCCCGTGTGTGTAAACGTTACATGTGTGTGTGTAAACGTTACATGTGTGTGTAAACGTTACATGTGTGTGTAAACGTTACATGTGTGTGTAAACGTTACATGTGTGTGTAAACTTTACATGTGTGTGTAAACGTTACATGTGTGTGTAAACGTTACATGTGTGTGTAAACGTTACATGTGTGTGTAAACGTTACATGTGTGTGTAAACGTTACATGTGGCTGTAAACGTTACATGTGTGTGTAAACGTTACATGTGTGTGTAAACGTTACATGTGTGTGTAAATGTTACATGTGTGTGTAAACGTTACATGTGTGTGTAAACGTTACATGTGTGTGTAAATGTTACATGTGTGTGTAAACGTTACATGTGTGTGTAAACGTTACATGTGGCTGTAAACGTTACATGTGTGTGTAAACGTTACATGTGTGTGTAAACGTTACATGTGTGTGTAAACGTTACATGTGTGTGTAAACGTTACATGTGTGTGTAAACGTTACATGTGTGTGTAAACGTTACATGTGTGTGTAAACGTTACATGTGTGTGTAAACGTTACATGTGTGTGTAAACGTTACATGTGTGTGTAAACGTTACATGTGGCTGTGGCTCACGGGCACCGCTTCAAGATCCGTTTGGGGGACTGACTTTCATACACACGTAGTTTATCCCCCGTATGTAGCAGAGACAAACCAAAGGCAGTTTCGGAAAGGCTGGAATGTGTACTTCACGGAGATAAAAAAAGTAAGTCGCTAACGTTCACCGTTCGCGAGTAAATTTATCATTTGTAAAACATGTGCGCCACCATCGTCGGGTTAAAAACGGTAAGAAAAACTGGTAAAAGCGTTTCAATAATTCCCAATCTTCACTGGTGCCGATGAACAAGTTTGGGAGTTTGCGGAAAAATCTAGAATTTATTTAATCTCTCGACGTTATTGCGATTTCTTTGACTTCACCCCAAACCGTGTGGTTGCTAACGGACCTCGCTAACGGACCTCGCTAGTCCCATGATGCCTCACTCCAGCTTTAACGCTTGATTGTACAAACCCGGGTCCTGCTGTTTACAGCCACACGCCTCGATGAACCTCCATATGCTGCATCTGCTAGCTTCTCCGCTACGTCGCTTCTCCGCTACGTCGCTTCTCCGCTACGTCGCTTCTCCGCTACGTCGCTTCTCCGCTACGTCGCTTCTCCGCTACGTCGCTTCTCCGCTCGCTTCTCCGTCACGTCGCTTCTCCGTCACGTCGCTTTTCCGTCACGTCGCTTTTCCGTCACGTCGCTTCTCCGTCACGTCGCTTCTCCGTCACGTCGCTTCTCCGTCACGTCGCTTCTCCGTCACGTCGCTTCTCCGTCACGTCGCTTCTCCGTCACGTCGCTTCTCCGTCACGTCGCTTCTCCGTCACGTCGCTTCTCCGTCACGTCGCTTCTCCGCTACGTCGCTTCTCCGCTACGTCGCTTCTCCGCTACGTCGCTTCTCAGCTACGTCGCTTCTCCGTCACGTCGCTTCTCCGTCACGTCGCTTCTCCGTCACGTCGCTTCTCCGCTACGTCGCTTCTCCGCTACGTCGCTTCTCAGCTACGTCGCTTCTCCGTCACGTCGCTTCTCCGTCACGTCGCTTCTCCGTCACGTCGCTTCTCCGTCACGTCGCTTCTCCGTCACGTCGCTTCTCCGTCACGTCGCTTCTCCGTCACGTCGCTTCTCCATCACGTCGCTTCTCCATCACGTCGCTTCTCCGCTACGTCGCTTCTCCGTCACGTCGCTTCTCCGTCGCTTCTCCGTCACGTCGCTTCTCCGTCACGTCGCTTCTCCGTCACGTCGCTTTTGTCAAAACGATAACTTTGTACAATTGTAGAAGTAACTTAGAAAATACTATTGTTTTTTGTCTTATCCAGAAGTTTCCAGAAGTTAATCTTGAGCCGACTTTGTGTGTGTTTGTTGTCGTCCTATTTAATTGTGTTGTTGTTGTATAAATGTGTGGTAACTATTTACGGGGTTGTGCGATGGTGTATTTATTGCGTGTCCGCGGCTGGAGTTCCGTGTTGGCGCCTTTTCGGGAAAAACACAAAAAGCACAAACGACACGGAGAGGCCACAGCGGGTCTTCACACCGATCATGTCTGCTTCAAACTTCGCAAACGTTATCGAAACTCGTTACTTTTGCAAACAAGTGAGAGTGTTAAAGTCGTAAAGCTGTAATTTAGCTCAAAACGAGAATGTTGGAGATTTTGGGGAAGATTTCCAAAAACTGAATATAATTTTTTGGTTTATTTCAATATTGTTCTTAGTTACACATTAATCTGTGAGTTGCCAGAATCAGCTCTTTAGCTCCTTTTCAATTATACAATTATTTACGTTTTATTAATTGTTTAAAAATGTCATAAATGTATTTTTTATTTCACTAAATATTTGTAAAAACAGTCATTCTCGTAAAACATACTAACAATTAATTTTAAAAAATTATCCAATATTTTTTTTCTTGTGTTGCTTTTTAGTCCTTGCCTGATCTGGCGCCCGCTCCGTCCGAGACAACATTAATATTTGTTTTTTATGCATGAAACACATTTATGACCATTTTATCTTCCTCCATGATTCTCAAATCCAGTCTGTAATAAGAGAGTCCATGTCTAAAGTCTGCAGTTGGAGATATCCAGGGTTTCTCACGGTCTCTCTCGTCTTTTCCTGAAGTGGAGAGTTTTTCACAAATGTCCTGATGTTTATTTTGGGAGAGTTTCTCAGAAGAACTCGTACCTCCACCTCAAGTGCTTTTTGGAAGTAGCTCCACAGAAGCCTACTCTAAGAACTTGACCTGGTCTCTCTCTCTCTCTGTCGCTCTCTCTTCTCTCTCTGTCTCTCTTTCTCTCTCTTTCTGTGTCTGTCGCGCTCTCTCTCTCTCTCTGTCTCTCTCTCTCTGTCTCTCTCTCTCTCTGTCTCTCTCTCTCTCTGTCTCTCTCTCTCTCTGTCTCTCTCTCTCTCTCTCTGTCTCTGTCTCTGTCTCTCTCTCTGTCTCTGTCTCTCTCTCTCTCTCTATTGTAGTCTCAAAACACAGACATAACAGAAAACTCAGAGAAAACATAAACACTTTTCACTGTATCTATAATTTAACTTGTGTTGTTGCTTTTTAGTGTATTCTCGCCGTACACTTCAGTAGCCGGGCTCCAGCCAACCTTTAGCCCCGCCCACATCCAATTTGACCCGCCCCCTGGGATTGTATGTGGGCGGGGCTAAAGGTCAGCTGGAGCCTGGCAAACATTTAGTTCATTTTGATTCCGAGGGTAAAAAGTTACGTTTCCAGGCTTTGTTCTTATACATTCAATTCATATAATGTACTTTAAAGGTCTACAGGAGGATTTTCTACTTCCTGGTGGATCATCAAGACTATTGGTCCTCCCAACTGTCAATCATTCTGTTGTTACGCCAAATAAGCCAGAGAGTTTGTTCAAATGGAGAGGGCGGTTCTTTCCTAAAATATGAGAAAATCCTCCTTTAAACCTTTAAGTCTGACCCAAAATCTGGAGAGACCTGCGTCATCTTCAGGTCCAACAAGAAACGCTGTATTTTTAATTATTATGAAACAAATATAAACCATTACAAATGACAAAAAAACTTCGTCATTCCGTCTTTTGAACATATTGCGAAAAAGAGATTAAAGCGTTGTGTTTGTGGATGGCAGTGTTCGGGAGCGTCCTTTGATCTGTAGCATCTCATGTTTCTAACAAGTCTTATTTATCCCGAAGTCCCTGAACGCAACGTCCTGTTACAAAGACTCCAACGTCGTTCTCCTTTTCTCCTGTTTATTTTTTTTGTATGAAACCGTTTTGTCGGCCTTTTAGTGTTGCTTTGCTTCAGTTTGAAGTGTATCTATGACTAATACTCGCAATAAAAATGCCTTGATTTACCTCAAACGGTCCTTTGTCTCGTGTCTAACTTAAAGCTGGGGGACCTAACTTTCTTTTTTTAATACAGTGGTTTTTCTACATGTTTTTGTATCGGTCTAAATCACAGCAGAAGTCGTCTCAAAGGAAATTCCAAGATTCAAATCAGATTAAGATGAAGAGATCCTTTACTGGTCTCACAGCGGGGAAATGTCAGTGTTGCATCATAAGTTTAGAACATTAGAATGAGGAGCACACAGCACAAGATAAATGAACAATAACTTAATAACAGCAAGGTGGCTGAGTGGATAGCACTCTCGCCTCTCAGCAAGAAGGTCCTGGGTTCGAATCCCGGTCGGACCAGGGCCTTTCTGAGTGGAGTTTGCATGTTCTCCCCGTGTCTGCGTAGGTTTCCTCCGGGTACTCCGGTTTCCCCTACCACTAAAAATATGTCCAATAGTTCTGGCATGCGCTTCCTGTACTGGCCCCTCCCATCTCTGTGTGGAGTGAGAGACAAATGCCCAAAATTAACAATTGTAAACCGCTTTGAGACTCAGATCTGCAGTGAAAAAGCGGTATATAAATAAAAACTTACTACTGATAACTAAACTAAAATCAAAAAGTATCTAAAACTTTAGCATCAAGATAATTACATCTACTTGTTTTCTGTACTTTTAATTTAGTTGTTTTATGTATGTACTTGTCTTGTGCACACACTGGGGACTTTTGCAAATGTATTCCAATGTGGTTTTACTGCAAATGGCAAATAAATGAATCTGAATCTCTTTGAAATATACATATTACTGTATAAAGCTTACGTTGAAGACAGCTGGCTCACTGTCTCCCTCTGGTGGCTTTACTGGGAATTGCGCCTCTGTCGGTAAGTAGTAGACTAAAGTAAATTCTAGATACACACATATACACACATACATACATACACACATTTAAACACACACGCATACATACATACATATACACACATATACATACATTATATATATATAGATATATATATATATATACGCACATATATACATACACAGACGCATACACACACATACATACACAGGGATGAATGGTTGCCTTAAATGACATTTTTTAAAATACATTCATATAAATAAATAAGTGTGTTTTTGTAACTTTAAATTTTAATCACTTTTATTGTTTTAACTGTTTTTGTCTAAAACAGACAACTAAAACATTTATGTTCTCTGTTTTTATTGACGTATTCATATGAAACTGAATAAATAGGTTTGTGTTTCTCCCACAGCCTCCTGTTGAATTCTTATGTTGTTCCTGTAAATGTCCACCAGAGGGAGACATAGCCTTGAGGTTAAGCATCGCCTGCGCTGAGTGAAGGGGCGTGAAGTTTGACGTAGAAAAAGGATTCAAAGGGTTCAACACGTTACATAAAGTACGATTTTAGTTTCGTCAGATCCAGGATTAAATCACTAAAAACATTATAATCAAACATTGCATTTTTGACTCGCTCTGACCAAAGATAGAAATGTACTGAGACTCAATGCTTTATATTAAAAGTACTTAAACACACGAGTAAAATATAGTAATAACTGTATTAAAGCTGAGGTACCTGATTTTACTAAACAGTGAACTATGTAAACAAATGTAACGAGCTCCTGCAGTTTGCTTCTGTCACTAGTTTTTACATCACGTTTTAACGTTTAGAGCTTTTTCAGACTGAGAAGTGAAAAAGAAAGAACCACACTCACTCAGCCAATCAGCTCTCAGCCAATCAGCATCAGCACTCAGCCAATCAGCTCTCAGCCAATCAGCACTCAGCCAATCAGCACTCAGCCAATCAGCTCTCAGTCAATCAGCTCTCAGCCAATCAGCTCCAAGCCCAAAAGTAGTGACTCACAGGAATCTGTCTTTTAAACATGCAAAAGATAAAACCTTTTCAAATATCATTAAGACAGTAGTGGTTACTTTTATAAAACTCTTTCTACAAAATACATGTATTATTAATAATAATAATGATGATGATAATCAGATTTCTTATCCTTATTCAGTGGAAATGTTGCTTTAATCAGGGCAAATGTAGTGTTCCCTATAGTTTGATCATGAACACCTGTGGCTCAGAAGTCTGTTCATGAACACCTGTGGCTCAACAGTCTGTTCATGAACACCTGTGGCTCAACAGTCTGTTCATGAACACCTGTGGCTCAGCAGTCTGTTCATGAACCCCTGTGGCTCAGCAGTCTGATCATGAACACCTGTGGCTCAGCAGTCTGTTCATGAACACCTGTGGCTCAGCAGTCTGTTCATGAACACCTGTGGCTCAGCAGTCTGATCATGAACACCTGTGGCTCAGCAGTCTGTTCATGAACACCTGTGGCTCAGCAGTTTGATCATGAACACCTGTGGCTCAGCAGTCTGTTCATGAACACCTGTGGCTCAGCAGTTTGATCATGAACACCTGTGGCTCAGCAGTCTGTTCATGAACACCTGTGGCTCAGCAGTCTGTTCATGAACACATGTGGATCAGCAGTCTGATCATGAACACCTGTGGCTCAGCAGTCTGATCATGAACACCTGTGGCTCAGCAGTCTGATCATGAACACCTGTGGCTCAGCAGTCTGATCATGAACACCTGTGGCTCAGCAGTCTGATCATGAACACCTGTGGCTCAGCAGTCTGTTCATGAACACCTGTGGCTCAGCAGTCTGTTCATGAACACCTGTGGCTCAGCAGTCTGTTCATGAACACCTGTGGCTCAGCAGTTTGATCATGAACACCTGTGGCTCAGCAGTCTGTTCATGAACACCTGTGGCTCAGCAGTCTGTTCATGAACACATGTGGATCAGCAGTCTGATCATGAACACCTGTGGCTCAGCAGTCTGATCATGAACACCTGTGGCTCAGCAGTCTGATCATGAACACCTGTGGCTCAGCAGTCTGATCATGAACACCTGTGGCTCAGCAGTCTGATCATGAACACCTGTGGCTCAGCAGTCTGTTCATGAACACCTGTGGCTCAGCAGTCTGTTCATGAACACCTGTGGCTCAGCAGTTTGATCATGAGCACCTGTGGCTCAGCAGTTTGATCATGAACACCTGTGGCTCAGCGGTCTGATCATGAACACCTGTGGCTCAGCAGTCTGATCATGAACACCTGTGGCTCAGCAGTCTGATCATGAACACCTGTGGCTCAGCAGTCTGATCATGAACACCTGTGGCTCAGCAGTCTGTTCATGAACACCTGTGGCTCAGCAGTCTGTTCATGAACACCTGTGGCTCAGCAGTCTGTTCATGAACACCTGTGGCTCAGCAGTTTGATCATGAACACCTGTGGCTCAGCAGTTTGATCATGAACACCTGTGGCTCAGCAGTCTGTTCATGAACACCTGTGGCTCAGCAGTCTGATCATGAACACCTGTGGCTCAGCAGTCTGATCATGAACACCTGTGGCTCAGCAGTCTGATCATGAACACCTGTGGCTCAGCAGTCTGATCATGAACACCTGTGGCTCAGCAGTCTGTTCATGAACACCTGTGGCTCAGCAGTCTGATCATGAACACCTGTGGCTCAGCAGTCTGTTCATGAACATCTGTGGCTCAGCAGTCTGATCATGAACACCTGTGGCTCAGCAGTCTGTTCATGAACACCTGTGTCTCAGCAGTCTGATCATGAACACCTGTGGCTCAGCAGTCTGATCATGAACACCTGTGGCTCAGCAGTCTGTTCATGAACACATGTGGCTCAGCAGTCTGATCATGAACACCTGTGGCTCGGCAGTCTGTTCATGAACACCTGTGGCTCGGCAGTCTGTTCATGAACACCTGTGGCTCGGCAGTCTGTTCATGAACACCTGTGGCTCAACAGTCTGTTCATGAACACCTGTGGCTCAGCAGTTTGATCATGAACACCTGTGGCTCAGCAGTTTGATCATGAACACCTGTGGCTCAGCAGTCTGTTCATGAACACCTGTGGCTCAGCAGTCTGATCATGAACACCTGTGGCTCAGCAGTCTGTTCATGAACACCTGTGGCTCAGCAGTCTGATCATGAACACCTGTGGCTCAGCAGTCTGTTCATGAACACCTGTGGCTCAGCAGTCTGATCATGAACACCTGTGGCTCAGCAGTCTGTTCATGAACACCTGTGGCTCAGCAGTCTGAGCATGAACACCTGTGGCTCAGCAGTCTGTTCATGAACACCTGTGGCTCAGCAGTCTGATCATGAACACCTGTGGCTCAGCAGTCTGTTCATGAACACCTGTGGCTCAGCAGTCTGTTCATGAACACCTGTGGCTCAGCAGTCTGATCATGAACACCTGTGGCTCGGCAGTCTGATCATGAACACCTGTGGCTCAGCAGTCTGTTCATGAGGAGGTGTGTGCTCCTCTTTTTATTTGTTTCATTGTATTTGAATCCAGTTTTTCCAATGTGGTTTTACTGCAAATGGCAAATAAATGAATCTGAATCTTTTGTTTTTTAAATCCGATAAAAACGATAAAATACTAGTTATCACATGTTTATAGTTACAGTATCTGGTATTTTATCGTTTTTATTTCATTTGTATTGTTTTTGTTTTGTGCAGCACTTTGGAAACTTGTTTATAAAATGTGATAGAAATAAAGTGGATCAAAACTCTTAAAGTCTCTTCACAATATCCTCTCTCTCCAAACACAGGTGATAAACTACTGTAGCCACAGCTGCCCTGGGGCACACTGACAGCAGCGAGGCAACCAGTCTGTGCCATCGGCCCCTCCCACCACCACCAACCATTCACACACACACCAGACTCATTCTAATGTGGGGGAAGTGTCTTGCCTAAGGACACAACCACAGTTTGGCACTTTACAGCCGCAGCCGCCCCACTGTGGCACCTGCTGTTCACAGAGGTCTCCCATCACAGACTAACCAGGCCATGCCCTGCTTAGCTTCAGAGGTCTGACAGGACCTGCCCATCACCTGCAGGTCAGGCAAATTATTTATGAAAGTGAAAAATAAGCTCCAGCTTTAACAATGAAACCCTTAAATATGTGTCCGCTCCACACTGACCTCTGCTGTCGGGTCTGTTCCACTGTGGACGGTTTCATTTGGGCCGAGATCCTGTGAGTGCGAGAGGCAGGGGGGGGAGAGAGGCTGGGGGGGTGAGATGCTGGGGGGGAGAGAGGCTGGGGGGGTGAGATGCTGGGGGGGAGAGAGGCTGGGGGGGTGAGATGCTGGGGGGGTGAGATGCTGGGGGGGTGAGAAGCTGGGGGGGTGAGATGCTGGGGGGGTGAGAGGCTGGGGGGGAGAGAGGCTGGGGGGGTGAGATGCTGGGGGGGAGAGAGGCTGGGGGGGTGAGATGCTGGGGGGGTGAGATGCTGGGGGGGTGAGAAGCTGGGGGGGTGAGATGCTGGGGGGGTGAGAGGCTGGGGGGGTGAGATGCTGGGGGGGTGAGAGGCTGGGGGGGGGGGTGAGGCTGGGGGGGTGAGATGCTGGGGGGGTGAGATGCTGGGGGGGGGTGAGATGCTGGGGGGGTGAGATGCTGGGGGGGTGAGATGCTGGGGGGGTGAGATGCTGGGGGGGTGAGATGCTGGGGGGTGAGATGCTGGGGGGGGTGAGATGATGCTGGGGGGGTGAGAGGCTGGGGGGGGGGTGAGGCTGGGGGGGTGAGATGCTGGGGGGGTGAGATGCTGGGGGGGTGAGATGCTGGGGGGGGTGAGGCTGGGGGGGGGGGTGAGGCTGGGGGGGGGGGTGAGAGGCTGGGGGGGGGTGAGAGGCTGGGGGGGGTGAGATGCTGGGGGGTGAGAGGCTGGGGGGGGGGGGGTGAGGCTGGGGGGGGGGGGTGAGGCTGGGGGGGGGTGAGAGGCTGGGGGGGGAGATGGGGGGGGTGAGATGCTGGGGGGGTGAGATGCTGGGGGGGGTGAGATGCTGGGGGGGGTGAGATGCTGGGGGGGTGAGATGCTGGGGGGGTGAGATGCTGGGGGGGTGAGATGCTGGGGGGGTGAGATGCTGGGGGGGTGAGATGCTGGGGGGGGTGAGAGGCTGGGGGGGGGAGATGCTGGGGGGGGAGAGAGCTGGGGGGGTGAGATGCTGGGGGGGTGAGATGCTGGGGGGGGTGAGATGCTGGGGGGGTGAGATGCTGGGGGGGAGAGAGGCTGGGGGGGGAGAGGCTGGGGGGGTGAGAGGCTGGGGGGGGTGAGATGCTGGGGGGGTGAGATGCTGGGGGGGGTGAGAGGCTGGGGGGGGTGAGATGCTGGGGGGGGTGAGAGGCTGGGGGGGTGAGATGCTGGGGGGGGGTGAGATGCTGGGGGGGAGAGAGGCTGGGGGGGGGAGAGGCTGGGGGGGTGAGATGCTGGGGGGGTGAGAGGCTGGGGGGGGTGAGATGCTGGGGGGGTGAGATGCTGGGGGGGTGAGATGCTGGGGGGGGTGAGATGCTGGGGGGGGGTGAGATGCTGGGGGGTGAGATGCTGGGGGGGTGAGATGCTGGGGGGGGGTGAGATGCTGGGGGGGTGAGAGGCTGGGGGGTGAGATGCTGGGGGGGTGAGAGGCTGGGGGGGGTGAGATGCTGGGGGGGGTGAGAGGCTGGGGGGGTGAGAGGCTGGGGGGGTGAGATGCTGGGGGGGAGAGAGGCTGGGGGGGGGAGAGGCTGGGGGGTGAGATGCTGGGGGGGTGAGAGGCTGGGGGGGTGAGATGCTGGGGGGGTGAGATGCTGGGGGGGGTGAGATGCTGGGGGGGGGTGAGATGCTGGGGGGTGAGATGCTGGGGGGGTGAGAGGCTGGGGGGTGAGATGCTGGGGGGGGTGAGAGGCTGGGGGGGGTGAGAGGCTGGGGGGGGTGAGATGCTGGGGGGGGTGAGATGCTGGGGGGGTGAGAGGCTGGGGGGGTGAGATGCTGGGGGGGGGTGAGATGCTGGGGGGTGAGAGGCTGGGGGGGGTGAGGTGCTGGGGGGGTGAGAGGCTGGGGGGGAGAGAGGCTGGGGGGGTGAGATGCTGGGGGGGTGAGATGCTGGGGGGGTGAGATGCTGGGGGGGAGAGAGGCTGGGGGGGGGGAGAGGCTGGGGGGGTGAGATGCTGGGGGGGGTGAGAGGCTGGGGGGGGTGAGATGCTGGGGGGGGTGAGATGCTGGGGGGGGTGAGATGCTGGGGGGGTGAGAGGCTGGGGGGGGTGAGAGGCTGGGGGGGTGAGATGCTGGGGGGGGTGAGATGCTGGGGGGGAGAGAGGCTGGGGGGGGGAGAGGCTGGGGGGGTGAGATGCTGGGGGGGGTGAGAGGCTGGGGGGGGTGAGATGCTGGGGGGGGTGAGATGCTGGGGGGTGAGATGCTGGGGGGGTGAGAGGCTGGGGGGGGTGAGATGCTGGGGGGGTGAGATGCTGGGGGGGTGAGATGCTGGGGGGTGAGATGCTGGGGGGGGTGAGATGCTGGGGGGTGAGATGCTGGGGGGGTGAGAGCTGGGGGGTGAGATGCTGGGGGGTGAGATGCTGGGGGGGTGAGATGCTGGGGGGTGAGATGCTGGGGGGGTGAGATGCTGGGGGGGTGAGATGCTGGGGGGGTGAGATGCTGGGGGGTGAGATGCTGGGGGGGTGAGAGGCTGGGGGGGATGGGGTGAGATGCTGGGGGGGGTGAGAGGCTGGGGGGGGGAGATGCTGGGGGGGTGAGATGCTGGGGGGGTGAGATGCTGGGGGGTGAGATGCTGGGGGGGTGAGATGCTGGGGGGGGGTGAGATGCTGGGGGGTGAGATGCTGGGGGGGTGAGATGCTGGGGGGGGGTGAGATGCTGGGGGGGGGTGAGATGCTGGGGGGGAGAGAGGCTGGGGGGGGGAGAGGCTGGGGGGTGAGATGCTGGGGGGGTGAGAGGCTGGGGGGGTGTGAGAGGCTGGGGGGGTGAGATGCTGGGGGGGTGAGATGCTGGGGGGGTGAGATGCTGGGGGGTGAGATGCTGGGGGGGGTGAGATGCTGGGGGGGGTGAGATGCTGGGGGGTGAGATGCTGGGGGGGTGAGAGGCTGGGGGGTGAGATGCTGGGGGGGGTGAGAGGCTGGGGGGGGTGAGATGCTGGGGGGGTGAGATGCTGGGGGGGTGAGAGGCTGGGGGGGTGAGATGCTGGGGGGGGGTGAGATGCTGGGGGGGGTGAGAGGCTGGGGGGGTGAGATGCTGGGGGGGGGTGAGATGCTGGGGGGTGAGAGGCTGGGGGGGGTGAGAAGCTGGGGGGGGTGAGATGCTGGGGGGGTGAGAGGCTGGGGGGGAGAGAGGCTGGGGGGGTGAGATGCTGGGGGGGGGTGAGATGCTGGGGGGGTGAGAGGCTGGGGGGGAGAGAGGCTGGGGGGGTGAGATGCTGACTTACTGCCCCCTGTCCTGGTCCTCTGTCCTGAGGATGACTGAAGTCCTGCGGTGGCTCTGGATGATCCTGTCTGTCTGTCTCTGTCTCTCTCTCTCTCTCTGTGTGTCGGTCTCTCTGTCGGTCTCTCTGTCGGTCTCTCTGTCGGTCTCTCTGTCGGTCTCTCTGTCGGTCTCTCTGTCGGTCTCTCTGTCTGTCTCTCTCTCTGTCGGTCTCTCTGTCGGTCTCTCTGTCTGTCTCTCTCTCTGTCGGTCTCTCTGTCGGTCTCTCTGTCGGTCTCTCTGTCGGTCTCTCTGTCGGTCTCTCTGTCTGTCTCTCTCTCTGTCGGTCTCTCTGTCGGTCTCTCTGTCGGTCTCTCTGTCGGTCTCTCTGTCGGTCTCTCTGTCTGTCTCTCTCTCTGTCGGTCTCTCTGTCGGTCTCTGTCTGTCTCTCTCTCTGTCGGTCTCTCTGTCGGTCTCTCTGTCTGTCTCTCTCTCTGTCGGTCTCTCTGTCGGTCTCTCTGTCTCTCTCTCTGTCGGTCTCTGTCGGTCTCTGTCGGTCTCTCTGTCTGTCTCTCTGTCTGTCTGTCTCTCTGTCGGTCTCTCTGTCGGTCTCTCTGTCTGTCTCTCTGTCGGTCTCTCTGTCTGTCTCTCTCTCTGTCGGTCTCTCTGTCTGTCTCTCTCTCTGTCGGTCTCTCTGTCGGTCTCTCTGTCGGTCTCTCTGTCGGTCTCTCTGTCGGTCTCTCTGTCGGTCTCTCTGTCTGTCTCTCTCTCTGTCGGTCTCTCTGTCGGTCTCTCTGTCGGTCTCTCTGTCGGTCTCTCTGTCAGTCTCTCTGTCGGTCTCTCTGTCGGTCTCTCTGTCAGTCTCTCTGTCGGTCTCTCTGTCTGTCTCTCTCTCTGTTGGTCTCTCTGTCTGTCTCTCTTTCTGTCGGTCTCTCTGTCTGTCTCTCTCTCTGTCGGTCTCTCTGTCGGTCTCTCTGTCTGTCTGTCGGTCTCTCTGTCCCTCTGTCTGTCTGTCGGTCTCTCTGTCTGTCTCTCTGTCTGTGTGTGTGTCTGTGTGTGTCTGTCATATCCAGAGCAGAGAGGCTTCATGGTCCGAACCAAGTGGATCAGCAGAAGATCCACTGGAGGAATGCTAACTTTGTGAAAAATGCTAATGAAGCCGTTAACTTTGGAGCAGAGCAGAGACAATGGTCTGAACCGAGCAGCACAGCCCCCCCCCTGAGAGTCTCATGTGGACTGCTCCAGAGACTGATGCCTGAGATGTGTTTGTGTGAAGGTGTGAGAAGGCCACGTGCCCCAGAGTCAGGAGGGTCGCTAACTTCAAACTGCCCTGAGGTGTTTGTGTTCCTCTTAGCCTCCGCGGTGCTAACAGAGCTAGCCACATACAGCCTTTAGCATAACACACATCTCCAGCTTTACTTTACCTTCTACATTTAGCATTATTCACCCTCCCATTTGGATTACAGTTTCTCTCAGTGGCTTTGGTGCATTTCTCAGACTTAAACTTCTCATAACTGAGTCCAACCTCCAGAACAGAGTCATGTGTGACATCATCGCATTTCATGGCTTTAGTGTCACAGACAAAACTGTTGAACTAGTTTAAAATCATAATCTGTCAAACTGTTTTTCCTGAAATGTTTTCCTAAAGTGAACAATTTCTCTCTGGGGCGACAGTGGCTCAGTTGGTAGAGCACTGGCCTTTGAGCCTGAAGGTCGTGGGTTCGAGCCCACCATAAGACCTACTTCACGACTCCCACTGATGACTGCTGTCGTTGTGTCCTTGGGCAAGACACTTAACCCCACTTTGCCTGAAGCTCCCACTGAAAGATCTCAGCTCCTGTGGACTCAGCACCTGCAGGAGGATCAGTGAGGGGCTGGTGCTCTGACTGCCACCCCCACCCAGACATGGATTAAGGGGAAGAAAATGGATGGAACAATTTCTCTCATGAGGAAGTCTGTGTTTTATTGTTTACATTTGTCACAGTTCGACCATAATAATGTTTCTGTA